GGAAAATGTCGTATCATCAATTTTCTGGTTTCCTGCACTCATTGCTTTTGATCTCCACTAAAAGATTTATGGAATGGCTTTCATTTTTACATTAACCTACTCCAAATTACACCAATTGAGAGCTGGGTTGGGTTTTTTTTCCTTAAACATCCAAAGAGAGGTTTTTAAAGCTGAGCCTTTTCATTCCTTCCAGTTTTGATTGTTTGAAGCGAAGGGCTGTTTTGGCAGGTTTATGGGATGGCGTCTGTTTTGCTGACAGACATGCCTGATAGATTGCTGTTTCATGTTTTACTTTTGGAGCCGTTTGCAGCGTTATCTGCATTTGAAAACCAATTTACTTTGACTTAAAAGTTAAATCAAATATATGGAAATAGCAGCCTTGCTTGCAATCAGATCTTATATCTGTCCTGTTGAGCATCTTTGCCTCATTGTGGATGAAATGCAGTGATGAAGAAAGTGATTCCTTCCCCTCCAGCACTGCCCACATTCAGTCATTATTGCTCATAGGCAAGGACTAATTCCTCCCCATGAGCCCCACAATGCCTTGAAATGTGAATAAGGGCACTTCTTGCACTGCCTGGCTAACCTAAAGAGGCTATGGATGAGTGTGAAATTAAAACAGTCCTTAAGAAACAAGGTTACAGCAGCCAGGACATTTGACGTAGATGATCTCGCGCAACAGTGAGTTTTAGAGTGACCACAGTGTACATGAAGGATTATTTCCTTTCATTTGTACTGGGTATTCAATCATTTGGAGCCTTTGAGCTCGGCCTAGGAATTGCATTCCAGGAATTTGCTGGTGTTTAACAAGACTATTTTTACTAACCTGTGCCACACCAGAAGTGTGGGGTGAGATAGAGAAAAAACCCTGAGAACTTCTAGTGCCAACCCCTCTATGCAAGGCAACTTGCAAGTCAGTGCTCTACCTTCAGTTTTAAGTGATACCATTCACCATCCTCAGGGGTCTTACAAGCCTTGCTAAAAGAAGAAATGGATCTTTCATTTAAGCTACATTAAATAGAGATGCCTCATGCAATGTATTGAGACCTTCAGCGGCAGATCTGGAAAACACGTTTTCCTCTGCTGCTCTTTGCTCTTGGATGGACTAAACATCTTAAACCCATGAGCCAAGTTCACCTCCACAAAGTCCATCTGTGACAGCACTGATGAGCTTGGCCTCGCTGACACTTCTTGAAACAGCCTCCAGGCCCAGAATAGCCCTGCACACACCATAGCATCATTTCCTGAGCATGAATCGCAGGGACGAGGCAGGCAGGGAGATCTGTGGCAGCTCCTAACTGAACATCAGGTTTGAGGATGGTCCAGTTGTCTATAAATACAGCTAAACAAGGCACTCCTCTCCCACTCTGGATACTTGTTTTCCCTTCTCCTATCTCAGCTGAATTTTCCTACCAGCTTCCTGAAAACACTTCCCGATTTCACACCATAAACATCCTCCACTTTTATTTGACCAACACTTCCTACACTGCGAGGCCTTCCGCCCAGCTCTTCCAGAGCTGCTCCCATGTTTCCCCTATCTTTGATATCCCAACAATAAATGAAAAACAACCTTTCCTGTGCTTGGTACTGGCATGCTTTTGGCATTTATTTATTCCTCCCCCCTTCAGCTGAGTGGTGAGGTTATTTCATGCCTGGGTTAGCCAACAGCCTGCTTTGCAAGAGGCAGCAACGGTGGTGGAAGGACTTATTGCTCCCAAATCAAGGATGGGAGGAGCATCACGCCCGAAAGGAGCTGACGTGGTGCTGGAGGTTGCTCCTGTGCTGCAAGGACCCTTTCAGACACACATCAGTGAAGGCACACTGGGAATGGGACTGTCCACTACTGGAAGGCGGAAGGTCACAGACAGCCCGGTCTCCACAAGGAGCGCTCCCTCCAAGCCGCATGCCACTGTCCTCGGATCACCTCCTCCTCCTCCACTGGGGAATTCCCAGAGCTCAAGCCAAGGCCAGCTGAAGGCAAGGGATGTTTGTGTTGACCTCAGCAGCCTTGGACAAGGCTTCCTAGAAGAAGAGCTTCCTGGAAAGCTGACGGACAGAGAGATACTTCCTCGGGAGCCATGTTGCTGTCAGCCAGGTAAGATGCCACCTTTGTGCTGTCTCTTCCTCCTATGGAGAGCTTTAGCCACTGGTGGGGACTGACCATGCCTTATTTTATAGCTCCTCTTCAACTTGTTCAACACATGAACTCCCCAGAGCTCCAACCATGTACAGCTCTCATTGGAGCCATGAGCGCGCCCAGCCCTAGCAAATGAGAGGCATGTCCTCCACCACAGGCAGCTCACGAACACCCAGGACCCATTTTGTTTGGCTGATGAGCACCAAATGAAGCTGGAACAATCATGTTCAACCAGGCTGGAAGTCAGCCTAATGCCAGGGCTATGGTAGTACATAAAGGTGTGGTAGATGACTCAGCATTTGGATGCCTGAGCTTTAGCAGTATCGTAGTAGGATCTGCAGCATCCAGAAAGGGGTTGATTTTTGGAACTAGCATCACATCAGAAGGGTGATGCACTCCAAACAATGCAGCTCTGATTTAAGGAGAGGCCGTGTAACCTCAGCTTCTGCAAAAGTCTTTACAGAGGCATTTGGCTGGTGCGGTTCAGCAGCAGCTTTGGGAAGATCTTCTGACACATGAGAAAGCAAAAGAATGCGCCAGGAAAACTCGGCTGAGGAGCAGCAATGCGTATTTATGGACACCCTGTAAATGGGTGCTCTTAATTCACCACGATTGTGTTGGAGCCACTGGTGGACAAATGCCCTGCTTGTGATGTAAAAATGAGAAAGCGAGGATCAGTTGGAGAACTGTCATATTTTGTTTCAGCCAGGCTTTTTTAGTATTGGGTGCAGCCAGGGATATACTACCCTCCCTCGGAGTGGCCAAAGATAACATGCAAAGCTTTGCTAGAAAGGATGACTACAGAAGATGAGGGAGTGATGGGGAGGATGCTGCAGACATGCACAAAATACCTGTCCCATTATACGCATCACGCAGAGCCTCCCCCCTCAAGCAGCTGTATTTTTTCCACCCTACAATTCATAAGGGATTCTCATCATTAGATAGCATTTGACTGCATCTAGGGCTATTTCTTTTTTAACAAATGGGGTAAGAAGCTGAGAGCATCCTTTGTTTGTTAGCTGCTTCTGATTTGAAAGCAGGGAGGCAGCAGCTTCTCTGAGTGTCCACATAACATAGGAAAGGTAGCAAAGGAAACCCAACAGCTTTCATTAGAGCAGCTCTGGATATATTATTACAGATAAAGCACATTGTTGAGAGGAGATTAAAGCTGTGAGAGCCCTGGGATGCCGAAAAAAATCCTGTCCATTTCATTTGTGTTTTACCCTGTTGCTTTTCCTTAAAGGGAAAGGACAAAGAAACCATCTCACAGTGTTCCTTTTGGGCAGGATTTCAATCCACCTTCCATCACTGTAAAAACTGATGAACAGAACAAGAAATAGCAAAGTGGTGGTTTCATAATTCTAATTTCTGCAGCATTAGAGCATGATAAAGCAAATCAGAGTTGTCCTTGTTTAGTACTTACAAGACAACACTTATGGAGATTTTGTTGTGATGCTGTAAGAGTCAGGACACCTGTGTGCACAGTTTCCATCCTGTAATTTAAGTGTACACTGCTTAAGGCTGCCAAACATGCAAAGACCATAGCTCAGAAGAGACAGCTGGGTGCAGATGACTCCTCCTGTTTAATCCTCACATTTGGAGCTGAGGGAAGCTGAGCTGAAGCAACACTGACTCCATCCTACCCAGGGGCACCATGCTCTCAGCAGCAGGGCAAACCAGACAACACATAGCATTTGTTTGGTCTGCCATGGTGCTGTAATTTAATTGCCAACTGCCCAGCCACTGTGAGACAAGTAGGATTTATTAGGATCTATATACTATAATACTTTGTCTATTGGTAATATTGTGTTAGGAATAGGTTTGTGTGCAAGTATAGATATTGCCTATATATATTTTATATGTATATTTAAACTACACAGAGATATGCAAAAACAAAGCAGTAAAGAACTGAAGGCAAACATTACACAGCTACAAGCCTCAGGCTCAGAAACACGACAAGAGCACACAGCAAAGGCAGGTCCTGTCTCAACAGTGCCTGCAAGCAAGCCCAGGCCAGCCCAGCTGGATGGGGAGTTCAAGGCCAACAGGAGAACACAGCACACACTGGATGAACTTTGCCCAGGTCACAGCAGCTCCATCAATGGTTTTATGCCTGTATCACATGAGCAAAGAGCTTTAAGGAGGGACTTACGGCCATGTCCACACTGAGCAAGCTCTGGGGGCAGGCGGCTGCCCAAAGGAGGTTGGCAAGTAACGTGGCCACGCATGACAGTGGTGATCCACACCCTTGAGAGCAGAGGCTGCTCTCGGCTTCCCAGCACCACTCCAGAGATGACAACAATGGAAAGCTCAGCCTCTGAGAGCCCTACAAGCCAAAACATCTCTAAACTCCTTTTTCCTCCAATCAGTTTTCACTCGTGGCGAGAATCACTGGAGAGTTCAGTTATTTGTTCCAACACACATAAAGCAGCCATCCGGCCCGATGCCTGTGCAATATCAAACAAGAACAAAACAAAGGACAAACTTAAAGCTGGAGTCCCCCAGGAACGGGCCAAAGGAGTCCTTGGGAACAACATGCTGCCATGCACAGCACACCAGGAGAGTTCTGCTGATTCAGAAACAATGAGCCCCTCCATGGCGAAATACTGAGGACAGGACTCCACCTCTCCAGCATTGGAGATGCATTCAGTACACACCATAGCTCAAGTGCTGGGTGAAAAAGAAAAAGCTATTATCACTCCAAAACAGGCAAACAAGACTCTCTTGAGAAAACAGATCTGGGGAGAGTCAACAGGGCACGGGTAAAAATATAACAACAAACAAAACCCAAATTCTCTGTTTTCCAGCTTGTCCTTTTGGGCCAAAGCTTTCCAGGTGCTGAATGAACAAACTAAATTCATACCTTGGAAAGCCTCAGGGGCTGGGTTTTCTTTTCAACAGAGAGAGTCGGATTCATCTTCAGCCAATGCTGCCCATCAGGGATGTTATGGGGTGATGGATGTCCCTACCCCATTGGTCTTGGGCCCCCACCCCAGCTCTGCAGAATAAGGAGAGAGGATGGACCACACTGTAATCAGAAATCTGTTAAGCAAAAGGAACAGCAACATCAAGAGGCTCAGGCCGACAGCAAAGACACCTTTGTCCTCTGCACACCATCACCACTGATGTTCTCCAGATCATTCACTGCCATCTTCATCTCTCAGTGAGCTACCAGCTCACACACCAACCTCCAAAAACATGAAGACCTGGAAGACCATTAATCCCAATGGGGGTGAACATCTTCTGGCATCATTAGGCACAGCGGGTTTTGGTCCTCAGTGCAGACAGTCATCCCTGCCTGATACGCCATTGCTCCCATGTCCTCCCAACACAACCAAGACCACCAGATTGAGCATATTTGTCCCAGGCCAACTTATTAGCTCCCAACAGCTTGCTGTCTTATTAAAGACCCTTTTTGTCATCCAGGCCCTAAACACCTCTTGGGAGCACTTGTTAAAGGCTTGAATACCTGAAGGTTTCTTTGGGGGAAGAAGAACTCACGCTTCTCACAGGAGCTCGGCCAAGAAGGCTGATAATCATCTCGTGATCACAAATCACTTTTCATAAGGACCATTTATGAGGTAACAGTTGGCATGCGGAAAGCATTGCATTTCACCAGCAGCTCACTGCAAACGAAACACGGTGAACCCTAAAAAGAAACTGTGACTCAAAGGCTGCATTCTTCTCTCCCACAGTGACCCCTTTGTTTGGTTCTACCCGAAAGTTTCATTACGAAAGTCTGATACAGGAGCCTTATTAAATTGTGATTAAATGACGTGTCCACGGCGAAGCCTGCTCATTCCGCTGTTGATGTGGGCTGGTTTTCTTAGACTTTTAAAACACACAGGTTTATGAAATAGCTGTAATATCTTTCCCTGTGATTGCAAGGGAATGGAGGGTCTTTGCTCCCACTCTGGTTGTACCTGGCCTCGCTCCAGAGGATAACATTTTCATTAAAAGTGTATTAGGTGCACAGTTCACCACGCAGCCATCCTGACGAAGCGCCTGATCCAAAGCCCATTGACCTGGCTCAGAAGCCTTAATGGGCTTTGGTGAACTTTGCTGGCCGCTATAAAAACAGAATCACCCATCACTAGAGTGACTTTGAGCTGTTTTACCATCAGTTGGATCCATTGCTTTCCCCCTAACTCCTTCTACACTTTGGGATCTAAAAACCAGTAGAATAAGCAGCATCATGGCTCAGGCCAGATTGCTGATTAATATATTAGTTCAGCAGGGTTGACTTTTGGACACCTAAGAAAGGGTTAAACAGTAGAAAGTCAAAGCCAGTGACCTCCCCACCATTCCTGACCAAGTATTAGTTCTGAGCCTTGAGTAAAAGCTCACAGGAGTGATGCATCTTTCCCTACAGATGACTCACTTTAAATGGTGCCCAGTGATTTACGCACAGAAAAATGTATTCATAAATACAGAAATGCACAAATTCATACATCTTAAGGGCAGGGGAACAGTCACAAATGTTCACTCTGACCCTCTGGAGACTGCAGCCTCACCCAGCAACTTCTGCTTGAAACGCATGGCTTCTGTTTGAGTGAAAGCATCCAAATATCACAGCGAAATGCTTTAAAGTACTTTCCTCTAATAGCTGTCAGAAGGGATGTTGTAAAAACAGAATCCTCCTCTTCCTGCTGCTTCAGAAAATCCAAGTCAGGGTAGGGATGCTTAGAGGATATTATTATTATTATTATTATCATTATTATTATTATTAATAATAATCAGTATCCCTTAGTGAGATGCTGTTTCCATATTCAGTGCTGTGCAGCACAGGGCTTTGGGGCAACACTGGAAGCTCCCAGTCTATCGCACCCCTTCAGCACTGCCACAGGCAGCCCCACCAGCCTGTCTCACCCAGTCATACCCATCTATTCCACAGGCCCTTGCAAACAACAGGATACTGGAGTAAGTTCACCGGTTAGCAAAGCCACCGCTTCATATCATCTACAGCTTCCTCTAGGCAAGAGCAACACTGTGTTCGTCCAGCAGATAGTAGATCAAGCTACGCAAGAAAGGTGGCAGAAGATGGCCAGAAGCTTTTATGGCAATATGGGTTGTTTCTGGGAGATACTGGCAGCCTTCTGGCTGAGTCAGCAAGAATTCTCCATGGGGCATGTATCGTGGGCTGGCCTCCTCACAACCCCAGGACCAGAGGGCTGGATCACAGTCATCCAGCAAAGGCAATTTAAATCATGCATCACAAAGTACAACTGTGTGTAAATATTTGTGTAAGATAAGATCGGTGAGCAGCCTTGCAATATTTCAAAGGGCTGAGCAAGGACAAAAAAACAGATTATATATACTGCCTGAGAAAAATAAAATCAGGAAATCCAGCAGTGTGTTTATGTTAGGGTAACATTTGCTCTGGAGCGGGTTTCTGTCAATGGATGTCCTACACATGGAGCAGGCAGCGCAAATACGAGGGCAAGGCATGCAAAGAGATTTATCTGAAGATCAGACCTGAGTCTCATGAGGGACTCCTAATCAAGCCATCCACCAGCCACACGACATCAGAAGACTTTCAGGAAAGGTTGGTGGACCTGTCAAGTTGACATATGGAGGCACAGGCAGCTGGTTGCTAAGTTGTATTTTATTCAGAGCAAACACACAGTGAGCATCTCTGAGATAGGATCATAGAATACCTAGGGTTGGAAAGGACCTTAAGATCACCCAGTTCCAGCCCCCCTACCATGGGCATGGACACCTCACAGTAAACCATGTCACCCAAGGCCTTGTCCAACCTGGTCTTGAACACTGCCAGGGATGGAGCATTCACAACCACCCTGGGCAACCCATTCCAGTGCCTCACCACCCTCACAGGAAAGAATTTCCTCCTTATATCCAATCCATACTTCCCCTGTTTAAGTTTTAACCCATTACCCCTTGTCCTATCACTACGCTCCCTAAGGAATAGTCCCTCCCCAGCATCCCTATAGCCCCCCTTCAGATACTGGAAGGCTGCTATGAGGATTATCTGCTGTGAGATAATCAGTCTCTTCATATTCAGGAGACAAAGTTTGCTAGCTGAAGTAGCTGCAATGCTTTCTGACAAGGATACATTCCAGATTTCTTCCTTTTAAATTCATATTTTTTTTATTAATACTTATAGCCCAAGCTCAACACCATCACAAACCATTCTGAACTGGAGGCTTGGAGATGTGCCATATGTGCCACACCACCCTGTCACTCTCAGCAAGGTAACACTGCTAGTGCTGACCCGTGACGCTCCAACACAAAAGCAGAATCTATTTCCAGAGAAGGCAGAAAAAAGTCTGCCTATTTTATAGGTAGGAAGCAGTCAGTGCCAGCCTTTCAACTGGTTTAGGCCAGAGAATGAATAGTAACTCTCAGCTTTTCATAAAGATACTCCCATTTCCCAGGCATGAGCAAACTGCAGTATCAGATGTCTACAAAAAGAACTACATCGTTTGATAAAGACTTTGTACCTGTCAGTTGCATTTTGCATCAGAAACCAGATTCTCCGCATCACTTAATCACTTTGCCTAGCACGTTAACCTCCAGCAGTCAACAGTTTCTTCTGCCACAGCCACCTATATAGGTAGAATCCTAGAATGGTTTGAATTGGAAGGGACCTTAAAGCTCACCCAGTTCCAAGCCCCTGCCACGGGCAGGGACAGCTTCCACTAGAGCAGCTTGCGCCAAGCCCCATCCAGCCTGGCCTTGAACACTGCCATGGACGGTAATATGTTGAGACAAGGAGCTTATATGTGACTTCAAGAAGCTGGTTGGATTCCTGACCCCATCTCCACGCTGGGAGTGAGACCACTCAACTCTTCCCTGTCACCCAGCACTGAAACCACACACGGACAGCACAAGGTGGTACGTAACCACAGTGCAAGGACTTGAGCTTTCTAACTGTAGCCATCCGATCTGAAAACATGACTTGGGCAAGGAATGAGGGAGTCAAGCATGCAACCACACTCCAACCACCAGACAAACAACTGCCCCCCTCATTTTGCAGCCTCACTTTTCTCCTCCAGATGCTTTGCATTTCCCCTTTCCTCTGCCAGGTGTTTTTAGCACATCAATGTTAAAAATTTCAGCATGTTCTAGGATCCCAGCCTGCTTTTAAACAAACTACCACAGACCTGTCTTTATGGAAGATGTTTCTTGCCAAAAATACTATTTAATTTGTAAGCAGTTTATGATTTTCTAAGAGTTATAAAGTCTAGAATTAGGAAATAAATGGCCAACGGAAAAGATCCCTCCTGGTAGCCAAAGTGACCATATAATTGATTTTTTATGAACAGCATCTGAAGGAATGAGTCACAACCCATACGGCTGTTTTGGAATCTAGATATACATCTCCTTTTAAGCCTCTCAGAAGACTTATCCAAGTTTTCCACATATAATCAATGGTGATTAGACAAGGATATGAATCATTACAGTTCCTAAGGCCTAGCACATGTTTGCAGGGTGAAGGATTCACACGTTCTTGCTCTATAAATACCCATCCAAGGTTGTCCAGAGCATGAGAAACTCAGAAAGTGAAAAGGTATGGGCAGAGCAAAGTGCAGACTCATTCCAGAACCAAAGGCCTCCTCCCTTAGATGGGTGTAAATATTATTAACTTAGGACATGGTTCAAACTGCAGTTGAAGTCAGATGGAAAAACTTTACCTCTAAGGCGGGCTGTGTATCCTCTTTCTCCATGGCCTTACCCGTTTTCTCATAGCTTGGCCCAGCCGGTGAGGAGCTTAGGTTACAGATTTGCTCACTCCGCTGTGATGCTATACAAACAACACCCACACAGTTCACATGTGCACACTCCTCCCATGGGCATCTGGGCTGTCCAGTGGTGCAGAAACATCCTTCCTATGGGCCCACATTTGCACAACCACACACATGCACACCTCACACAGCTTTACACACCCAGACTTCCTCCTGGGTGCTGCATTTAGCTCCACCATTTAAGCCTGCACTACCTGTCCCATTGCCAGAGGATTCACATTCATTCCATGCCATGGAATCATGGAATCACAGAACGGTTTGGGTCGGAAAGAGCCTTAAGATCATCCAGTTCCAATGCCCCAGCCATGGGCAGGGTCACCTTACACTAAACCATCTCACTTAAGGCTCTGTCCAACCTGGTCTTGAACACTGCCAGGGATGGAGCATTCACAACTTCCCTGAGCAATCCATTCCAGTGCTTCACCACCCTTACAGTAAAGAACTTCTTCCGTATATCCAACTTTAACTTCCCCTGTTTAAGTTTAAACCCATCACCCCTTGTCCTATCACTACAGGACAAGACAGAACTGCATCCTGCACCTTCTGAAAGATGCCGAGAGCCCTGTTTGCAGTTGCTCAGGACTTCAAATTCATCCAACAGCAGTGTTGGGAATTTTGCTCACAATGACAGTAGATGTAACAGGTACAACCCCCTGACCAATTCAACCCCTGCAGACATGACTACTAAATTCTATCGCCTTTTATTCCAGCCTCAGGTGCTGGTTCACAATACCCTTCCTCTGCCCATGGCATGGAATACTGAGCACCTACGTACAACAGAGCACACTTGATTTTAAGGACTCCCAGAGAAGGAACGTCTCCCAGTACAAAACAGACTTCTTGTTACCATGTAAGTCTAAGCCAAATAAGTATTTTGCAAGTTCATATGCCATGGAAGAAAAAAAACCCATGAGCCAGGATTTATGCATGATCTTCACGCATCATAACTCCAAAGCATCTTTCCACCCATCAGACTTCCAGCACCCAGAATTGCTGCCTACAAATACTAGAGATGCTCGGCCTAGATTGCACATTTATAACTTTGGTAGACTTTTAGAACCAGAAGGGACTGTTATTAAATCCCATCCAGCTTCCTGTGAAACACAAACCAAACAATCTCAGCTGATAATTTCTGTATCGAGCCCTGTGACTTCTACTTGAATCAGCACCAGACGCACTCCCAATGTGCTACAGCCACTATATTATATACCTCACAATTCCTGTATTCCTCCAGGCAATGCAAAGGAGAAAAGGGAGCCACAGTCCCTTTTGCTGCCTCTTTGCCCTGATAAATGAGCAAGCAAGCTGAGTGCCGGCAGTATTTTTAAGAGCTGTCTCGTCTTGGAGGCAAGTAAAGCCTCTGCATTCCTTGAAAAGAGACGACGGGGTGATAGAAAATAGACCAGGATCCATAATGTGTTACACAGCTTTAACTTCATAACACTAGCACACATTCAGATCCTGTTTTAAAGGGAAGCTGAAAGATTAACATCGGCTCCTAGGCCAAGCCTGTAGTAATGAAACCCTTCCCTATAGTTCGACAGAGGCACTCACGGCGTCTTTTACGATGGCTGCCAAGGGAAGTCTTCAAGACAGACGAAAACTTTGAGGTTAAAATTTGAAAGGAAGACAAACTTATTCTCGTATTCATGTTACAGCTCATGATAAACTATTCCAGAGGGGATTCTTACCAGGATGCGAAAAGAAATTTTATGGAGAACTAGAGCCATTCATCTAATGTGAGGATGAAAGAGTAACGTATTACCTAGGAGGACACAAAGAAAGGTAATATTTCGCCTTCAATTTTACTGTGTTTCTAAGGCAATTCAGTCAGATAAAATTTGCAAAGCCATTTGAAGATGAAAAGGCCTTTACAATAACCAGATCATCGTGATTTAAGGAAATATTATGCCAGT